TAATCAAATTAATAAAAATCATAATCTAAAAGTCACGTGAACAACAACAAAAATTTCAACAAACCACAAGGGCTAAAAACGTAATTTACTAGAGGAGGAAAGGCGACGTGGAAGTTGTCAAATATTACGTCAATTACACACGTGTTGCATTTCATACATGCACCATGATTAAATATCTTGATTTTTTAATTAAAATAATTAATTTGATATGAACTTTTGATTGAGTATATAAAATGAAGTTTAGAACTATTAGAAGGGTATTCGTGTAATGTATTGAGATAAAATTTTTATTTTAATATTTAATTTTTATTATTTGTCTTTATCAATGTAATATAATTTTATGTGGTTTTGAGAAAATGACAATGTTTTTTATTTTTGAATGAAATATATATTTGATGATGATATAATTTTTTTTTTAAAAATTGATATTAATATTAAATTTTGTTTTTTTGGTGTAACTTATTTAATTCAATTTTTTATTATAATTCAATTTATATTCAATAACGAAGTAATTTATATTTTGTTTAATAAAATAATTTTCTTATAAAGATAATAATTGAGTATTCTGTTTGAACTCGATGATTATCTTAATTATATTTTAGATTTTTTATATTTTAAAAATGATATGTTTATCCTCTATTTGATTATGTTTATCCGTAGTTAGTTATACGAATTCAAACATGAAACTTTAATAAGTTGTACTTAATGCATAATTTACATGTAATCTTGAATTTTAAGTAATATGTATCAATATACAGTACTTTATGCATAAAAAATGGTTTTTAAGAGTTTTTGTCAAATGTTTTATAATATAGTATAAATAAGGGTGGTGTCTGATTGGTTTGAGCTTGGCTCCAAAGGTCAAAAGTACCTATAGGTCCTAGACTCAAATCCAAGGTGGAATAAAAATCCCCCTGTGGCCACGGAGGTTCAAATACGGTGACTCCGAGCTATCTGCAAAGCAGGTGGTCACCCTTGGACTATTCGGCTCGCATAACGGATTGGATATACAGGTTAATAAAAAATAGAGTTTAGTAAGACAAAGCTGAATAGAAGTAGAAACGAGACGGGTAATGAGCGGGAAATGCATCTACAACTCTGACCCTGTTTTATGTCCGCCAATCCCGCCTTTGCATACTCCTCGACGGGTTTGCAGTGGGGATCCATGAGACCATGACGGGTATGAAGAACTTGTTGGGTATCTGTTTAAATAAAATTTAATTAATTATTTTAAAATGGAAAAAAAACGAGTTTTTTTTATCTCAAGTTTAAAAGTTACAAGATAATATTAAAATTCATGGTTGATGGCAAATTTAAGAGTATAAAATTATATTATCTATACTATATTATAAAGGATTTGACAAAAACTCTTAAAAACCAATTTTTATGTATTAAGTATTGTTTATTGATGCATATTATTTAAAATTTAAGATTACAAGTAAATTTTGCATAAGTATAACTTATTAAAGTTTTATGTTTGAATTCGTGTAACTAACTGCGGATAAACATATCAAATAGAGGATAAACATTTAATTTTAAAATATAAAAAAATCTAAAATATTATTAAGATAATTCTTGGATCCTAACAGAATACTTAATTATTATATTTATAAAAAATATATTGTTAAATAAAAAATACAAAAATAGTTAAAAAAAATACAAAAAAAATATATATTTAATTTACTATTAACAACAATTTTTTTTTTCATTTGTTAATGATATTTTCATATTACATTTTATTCAAAAATTAAAGCATTATCGTTTTCTCAAAACCATATAAAACCGTATTATAACATCGATTGAAAAAAAAAATGAAACACTAAAATCGATATGTATCTCGCTGCATTGTGCGAGTACCCTTCTAATATATTTAAATACATATATCGGGTATTATTAGGGGCGAATAGTACCATCCTAATACTCATCTCTGCCTCATTAGGGACAGATACCCGTGCATTACTCGACCAGATGGGTAAAATTCCATCACTAATAGTGAAAACGCTTTAATTATTAGAACATCTCCAACAGATTATTCAAAATAAAAAAATAAAAGTCAAAGTTTTTAAAAAAAAAATATTATGTTCATCTCCAACTGCTTATCTATTTTATAGAATTATAATATTAATTATATTATTGAAATATTCAATAAATTTTAAAAATATATTTTTTTCTCCCGAACATTTAATTTTAAGGGTTCTCATTGGTATAAAAGATAGAGAAAATCATTTATCTTTCTAGAACATGCATTTTTTTGGGAATCTACCAAATTTCAAGAATTTTATCATTTATTTCCTACTTTCTCCATTTAGGACAGTATCTTGGAACCAGACCGAATTTTGATACATAGACAGTAGGACGGTTGAATAATATTTTTACTGTTCGTCATTTTTAGAGTTGTTGCTACTGATACGAGTTGGATCAATGAAGCCATATATAACACCCTAAGAAAACACATTAAGGGAGGGGATGAGTTGAACCCAAAAAAAAAATGCATAATGGAAACTCGAGTTTAATATGTATTGACCAACATAGGAAAATGGTACAGCGTTTACAAAACAAAAGGAGAGGTGATAAATAACAATCTATTAATCTAAACAATCCTATGCCTAGATTAAGGACGGGTGTTTCTATCGTCTCCAACAAAATGTCGTATCATCATATATTGCAACGCTCCAAAACACCAATTGCTTTAGCTACACAAAAGCCTTTTTGCGAGACCACGCTCCCCTCAACCCAATTTAGTCCTGCCGTTAAATGAACCTGACAAACAAGTCATTTCAAGAGAGAGTGTTAGGCTTACGCCTAGAGAGTCCAAATAGTGAAAAAGAAATGAACCACTAACCCATTATACATGTATGCATATATATATACACACATATAATTGACGAAATTTTAAACGATACAAGAGGATTAATAAATTCTAAATTTTTCACGGAGTGGAGTCATAACATCCGAATATGACGGGGGAGACCCGATTTACCGTTAATTATGACGGAACACAAAGTAAGTCATAAGTCAACGTTATAAAGCATCACTTACAGGCTTAACACCATTGACGTCAACCTAACCAGTCATGTAGTCGATCATGATCTTAAACTCTTTATCTCAAAAATTACATAGTAATCGCAATGACTATTCCCGAGTGGGAGTGAGAAGGTGATTTGAAATTTAAATAATGATCACAATGCCTAAATCCAACTAACACCACCCTTCACACCAAAACGATGATACAATTTTCATGCTTTCAAACCCACTATATCCTAGTGATATACTTGAATATGGTATCATAAACATAATAGTACTTACTTATTAATAGGATCTTACGCGTGTCCTTAACACAAGCAAAATAACCCGACTTTACTAATAAAGAACTTTAGGGCATGACTGTTTTAGTATTTAATGGTCAACAACACATTGAGAAATAGTATTTTACCAAGTGATTTGATTCATTTATCTAAACTTAACTTAACAGTATAACTGGATTACCCAAGCTTGTTCTTTTTACCCAATGATCTTCTTTTAATCTAAGTAAGTAATTACAGGAAGTTAAGACATAATATAAGTAAAAGCTTTCTGACCAAAAGTGTAATTTTCGTAGAATAAAATTAGATGAACTCACCTTTGTAGGATTTAGGATAAATCCCAATTTCTAGGAATTAATAAGTAGAAGGGAGGAGATCTTAGTTCATAAGAACAACATCTCAACACGGAACGGGCAGAAGCCAAGAAGACAGAAGGGGTAAGAAAGAAGGCGCAGACTGCCCTGGGTGCGGCATAGCTACTTCCGAGCTTGGTCAAGACCGCGCTTATGAAGTAAAAAAAAAGAAATAAGGTGTCTTAAACTCTACTTAGGTAAATGGAAATGCATACCTTACAACGAAATGAAAACCCTTGCTGCAAACGGAGCAGAAAGTAAAAAAAAAAAAAAGGTGTTACACTATAGAATTATCTGTAACAAATATCATCATTATGGCTTCATTTATTTACTTATAACATATTAAAACATCATCATTTCAACGCCAGATACATTTTATTAGATTTTAACAATCAGGTTAGCACGGATAATTTAGGTTCCACTAAGGTTTATAAAGCACGGGGTTTGAGGCTTTCCATCTTTACTATATAATCAAATACCGATAATCATTAAACCATCTAAGAAGTTTTGAATCATGAGAACTGGAAAATGCAAGAAACTGATAAGACCTTACAAGAAATAGATAAATTTGATCCTACAAAATGGGGGCAAACAAAAAATTGATTGCTATACATAAATGAAACGTAGAGGCAAACAAAAAACCGACTGCAAAACAAACTTGTTAACAGAAACAAACCTATTGATTGAAAACAAGTCTGCTAATCGTTTGCAACCGAAGCACTAGAAAGAGGATCACAAACCTGTTAAATTGATTGGAAAAGTAACCTAAAATGGGAACAAGAATCACCAGATAGAGCATTGCAACAGATTGTTTGTATGGATTTATGTATGTCATATCCTGAGAACATGGATAGCCAGGTTGGAAACTGGAAGAATCGAGAGGATATGAATAGCCATCTCGACTATTTGAAGCTTAAAAACCGGAGGAAGTAGGCGTGCTTTATCAACTTGCACCATATGCATAAATCACTTGTAATTAATAGGGAGTATTTCATGCTTTAGGAATTATTTAAGATTTTTATAAGATTCTTTAGTCGTCTACAATCTCATCAATGGTTTAGGCCATTGATGAAATTGTAAATCTAATCCAAAAGTTGAGAATTGATCTTGCAATATCACCAAAATGACTTATTCTAGACTATTGATGAAATTGTAGATCTAATACAAGTATTGAAAATTTGTCTTGCAATATCACCAAAATGACTTTTTCTCACATGATACCAAATGATCCAAGATTATATATATAATCCCACATCGGCTGAAGTTAGAAGCGATTTCAAATTCTTAAAAACCGGTTCAGGTGGCCGGGCTTGGTAGCGGGTCCTTTGACCCAAGTGGGGCATTAAGGTTAAATGGAGGGCGAAGGACCAGGGTGAACTATGTGTTTGGGAGTTTGCGGGTGGTGGTTGGAGCCAACCGGTCATTGCCCGTTCTCTCGGCCATGGTTGATCCCTTCTTAGCCAAACAAGTAACTTTTTGTTTGTTTGATTTCTACTTCACTTTACCGAATTGGAACTTGAATTAAACTAAAACTAAATGTCCCTTTTTGTCGTATTAGTGTTTGTATATAATGCTACCGTTTGTATGTTTGAATTTGGGTTAAATTCTCGATAACGACTCAAAATCCAGATACGTATTAGTGTTTAATTGCTTGCTATGTGCGTCTTTTTGTCGAATTGCTGATAAATTTTTTGGAATTTTGTTTTTGGTGAATTATTAACCAATTTGCATGTTTGATTTTGGGTTCAGTTATCGAATGAATCCAACGAAAACCCAAATGTGTATTTATGTCTTAATTGCTTGCTCTCTGTGTATTCTTTTTGTCGAATTGCTGCTTGTATCTGCTACCTGTTGTGTTTGTCTGAGAGAATCTAAATTTTATGTCATGTCTAAGGAAGAAGGATCAAATGGAACTTAATTGGGGTTTCTATATGTTGATGTAGTTGTGGATGTTGATAGGCATTATTTTTACCCACTTATTGTGCTTTCTATCCTTAATTAATGATAGATAAGTAGTTCATAATTCTCTTACAGTTATTCAAAAGGGTGGATAAAAAGATGAAGACAAGGAAGTGGCTGATAAAATCAACGCGAGTTCGAATCCTGCCATCTACATATGAGCTTGTGACCACCGGCAGATTTATATCAGGGCTGTGTGCGAAGCCTATAGTCGCGATTTGCCATAGGATTACTCTAAGGGAAGCTGGGATCACCCATTTCCAATAACAGAACAATTCTGGGTTCTCGGGGGACCTTCTTTTGAGAACTCTCTAAATCGTGAGATATATGAGAACAGTGAATCATGTGCTATTTCATATGGTTTTGTTCATCTATAGCTAGAATTCGATGTAGTGATTAACGTATGTTTGTTTTACAATGTATTTGTTTCATATGTTCTCGGTTCACAAAGCAAGAACCTTTTTAGAGTGTTTGTGAAACGAAAATACACGTAAAAAAGTTTCACATTGTGATCCGAATACATATAAAATAAATATATGTTAATCAATAATTAAATACTATACTTAGATGGAAAAATATCATGAAACAAAACCTTAAGGTAGAAGTTGTCATGGATCTCAAAATTTTGGAGTTCTCAGATGATTAAGCCCCGTAAGCTCTCTCCATCCTTTGTTATAGGTTACTTGCATGAAAGCTGTTCTGTGGGAGTGTGTTTGGTAAGCTGGGAATGGACAAAACAAGAACTTGTTGTCCCATGTTGGTGCGACATAAGACTAGGAGATGACAGGACTAAGCAAATGCAATTTTTTTTCCTAGGTGGAACAAAAATAAGGAGACAAGACAAGATTATGTTAAACCTCATTAGATTCTGATGTCACGTTTCCATAGTGGTCGAATTAATGAATTACTGAAGTTTCATTTTTCTTTAATACATTGAGCTCTTAACTGATGGTATCTTTGTGAATATTTTGTTGTTTCATGAGTTTTTACTCTTATTTGAGCCCTTAACTGTTGTTATCTTTGTGATTATTTTTCTATGTCACATATATTATTACTTAACACAAGTTATGAACTCAAGCCTTCCCAATAATATGAATAATGTCCAAGTTGTAAATCAAGTTGATCTGGGCTTGTCATAGTGAAATGCAGTTGCAAGTAAATTCATGAACTAACCGTAAATTTAGGAAAAAGGAAATAGACAATCTTGGAGGAACGATAGATGGATTTTTTTTTAAAATCAAAGGGCTTTTTGCCTCGCGGTATGTGGGTTACTTCTAGAGCCCAACCTCCCAGGAGGTCAAGGGTTCAAATCTCACCAACGATGAGGAGGGTGCATGAGTTTATTTGACATTTATAAATATTATATACTTCAAAAAACAAGATTTTTGTGCCAACCATTGATCATTTTCTGAAATGCCAAATGATTAAGGACTTTGGGTGGACATAATAAAGGAAAAAGGTTGAAACTTGAAACAAAATAACTTACATAGATCATATATGGCATGGCTAGAAAAAATGCCAGCTGAGTTACTACTTATCCTCTGATTCATAATTGCTCTCAAGAAAAGGGTTGAAACCAAATAAGTTACATATATCATATATGGCCTGTCTAGACAAAATGCCAGCTGAGTTGCTACTTATTCTCTGATCCAAGATTGTTCTCAAGTATGCCAGAGCTTAACAAAATGCTTTGTTTATGGGCTATAAAACACCATGGTTCTGATCATATTCTTGTTCTAGAGCCATATAGCTCTCTCTTTGATGAGCATAGGGACCAACTTGCCTTGAAGATGCAGGCTCATGATCTCATTGGCTCCACCGACCAGCTCTTGTCCTATAAAAACAGCTGGGACACATGGCTTACGCCCTAAGGCTTTGAGTTCCCTTTCGATTTCCTGACCATCTGGTCGTTCATCGAGCTCGTAAACAGTTGGGTTTGCTCCAAAGCTGCATATTAGCGTCCTAATGCTGTGGCATATACAGCAAGAATTCTTGCTGAATATAACCACCGCTTTGTCGGTTACTAACCTTGGTATAATGGCCATTGCTACTACTGGATAAAAGTACGATACTTTTACCGGGAAGGAGATGGAGAAACTAAAATGGTGGTAAGAGGCTTGTAATGAGAATGAGAGTTGGAGGAACTTAAACTGTCATTGGAGGCTATATATAGCTCGACCAGAGAACAAAAGAGGAGGGAAAAGGTGGGTACAAGTAGTATTTGACAATTTCCTAGATTACCCTTTTGAGATTGATCTTAAATGGAATGCCACTGAACCAAGATTGCAAATCTATTTAATAATATTCTAAAGGTGATCTTGGTATCCTTTGAAATCACCAGAAGATACACACCACCAACTCTCAGTTAAGTTATTTTTCTTGTGTAAGGGGCTGTTTGGTTGGTTTTCCATTAAGTGTTGTATGGATAAAGCTGTTTGTGTGGATTAATTTGTCTGTATAGGTTGGGAAGGTTTTTGTTTGGAAGGGTTTTATAGATGGAGGGAGCGTGATCTTTAATTGAACGGGGCAGGTTCCTAAAAAACTTGGCTTTCTGCTTAAAGCTCCCCCTAGAAGCTTACTGGATAAGTCACTTTCTATATCATTAAGATACTACCAAACAGTCATATATAGCTAACTGAATAAGCTGTGTCTCATTAAGCTCATTAAGCTGCTAACAAACATGCCGCGAGGCCCTGTGAAATGGTCCTTGACTCCAATCATCTAGATGCAAGCCTACTCATGAGGGTAATATGGTAATATGGTAATATCATATTATAAGCATCTGCTGTTGGTGGAAAAAGTAATTCCATTTAACCAATTGGGCCATCCTCCATCCAGTAATAAATATTCCTCTGCATCTTAATTGAACAAGCTGAAAGCCACAGAAAAAGAAATATATGGAGAAAGATATGCTTATCACTGGTGGGGTCCGTTAAATGGCCTTCTGACATGTTCTTTTTCTTTTAAATCTATGACCTTCTGACAGTTTCGAGAATGCCACTTCTTAACAGAAGAATGCCACTTCCTCTTACACAAGAATGCCTAGAAACTTGTCAGATAGCCATGAATTTAAAAAAATAGTCCTGGATATAAATAAATCTCTTTAGCTAAATAACCCGTCATTGGTGATAAAACATATAATTGAGATGATTAAATCAAATGGCATCCATACAAGTAGAACGGAAGTTTTGCATGCGGACATATTCTTATGCATTTCTCTATCTTTGAGTGCTTGATCAAAATATTATGCTTATTGTTAAGTGGTTTTTTACTAACTATGCTAGTTTAACAAGCTTCAAGTTTGGCTATGCACTAGTAACACACTGTTAGACTTGTGACATCCAAGGCATCAAAACAGCTAAAGTAAAAAGATCTTATCAATCGAGAATGTTTTTGTACTTCCTGTTTAAGCAGTCAGCATTTTATTGAGTGATCACAATTCAAAAGTACATTCCTGTTTAAGAGGTGATTTATTTGAATTAGTGATAAAGATCTATTTATTCCTTTTCTGCAGGCACTCTGAATTTTCTAGAGAATTCGACGTCTATTGGAATTTTCTAGAAATTCTCTTTCCCATTCTTTTCATCAAATCAGAATCATGGGTATGGATACATCACCATCTTACATTCCAAGGATAATGTATAAAACCGTACAACAAGGTATTTACATTTGTTATTTCCTGGTGTTAGATATAGCCACGTATATGCAGCCCAAAAAGCCAAAAGAAAAGAACAAGATGAGTTGAGTTCTGAACTTGGAATCAATTTGTACAACAGCCCATAGACAATGCTAAGGGGCACTTGTATAGGGTCACCAACTTACATGATGTCTGCCTAACAAGTTAAACTCCTACACACTAAACAATCTAGAAATTAGCAAACATATTGTTCTATTTTCTATCTTTTGGGCTTGCATATCCTTTTCCTTTTGTTCTGTTTTATGTCCATATATAGTTACTTAAAAATGCATTTAACCTTTGTATGTTATGAAGTTAGTGATCTATCTACTTTTGAAGGGAGAATATATTATTGGCTAAGAGGAGAGGGAGGTTCAAGGGAACCACCACCCTCCAAAAAAAAAAATGAAAAACTGAGGATCACGCTACGTTGGTAACCCATTCACCTGGACGGTATGCACCCGTGCATAAAAACCAAGAAACAACTTCAATTACTTATATGCACATGTGCTTACCGTCCAAGTGAACGGTTACTAGGGTGTTCCTCAGTTTTTTATTTTTGCAGTTTTCCCTTGAACCTGACCCTATTGGCTAATATGTTAATATGTACGTTTTTACACCTTATCCTTATGTTTTTGACACATGAACACCAGATCTACATTTCTACTTTCTTATTTGAAAAGTGAAATGTGTATGTGTGGATATAAATAGGAATGCATAGTCGAGTCCTGGCATAACGTATCTTTAAGATTGCAGATTGGTGGGCTTGTTATTCCCTCACCTTTTCCACTTCCAGAAAAGGACAAAGGATTGCCAATGCAAAATTTTATATTTTCCCTTTGTTGCTTTTTCTAGGTGGTGGTGAGATAAGAGAAGATTCCTTCAAGAAAAAAGTGGCTTTTAGACATCACACATAACATACATACCCAAAACACATTCATGAAAATTACTAATAATTTTTCTGCCTTCAAAACTGTTTCAGAATTTCTTCTTTTCACTTGAAGATCTTTATTATTCTCAAAATCTCAGATCAAGATAAGTAATGATCAGTGAAAACCATGAAGATTCCAGCATCTGTTATTTAATAGGCATCTTGTGATTTGTTCTTTTCTGGTTAATCACATGGTTTTCTATCCCCATGTAGTCGTATATTTGCTTTATGCAACCGACTTGTTACTCAGTTGTTTTGGGTTATTCTCCAAGATAAGTAATGATCAGTGAAAACCATGAAGATTCCAGCATCTGTTATTTAATAGGCATCTTGTGATTTGTTCTTTTCTGGTTAATCACATGGTTTTCTATCCCCATGTAGTCGTATATTTGCTTTATGCAACCGACTTGTTACTCAGTTGTTTTGGGTTATTTAGGAGAATAACCTTCTGACATATATTTTTTAGATGCATGACCCTCTAAAAGGTTATGAGACATTCTTGTGTTAGGAAGAGACTTTCTTAGATAGATGCATTCTTAAATCTGTTATAAGGTCATGCATTTAAAAAAAATCTATCACAAGGTTATTCGCCTAAATAACCCAGTTTTGTGTGTGTGTGCAATGCAAGATGTGGTTCTATAACACTTGTAATGTTGAACAAGCTTAAGATATCCTCCTATTCTTCTCCTATTTTCTGGGTAATTATCGTCCAACAGTTTTGTTTCTGAATGAATTAGTTTTTGTAAGACACTCAGGGGGTGTTTGGTTGGTTTTCCATTAAGTCATGTATGGATAAAGCTGTCTGTGTAGATTAATCTGTCTGTCTAGAGTGAGGAAGTTTTTGTTTGGGAGGGTTTTCTCATAAATGGAAAGATCATGTTTTTTAATTGGGAGGGGCAGGTTTGGGAAAAACTTGACTTTCTGCATAAAGCTCCCCCAAGAAGCTTATCGAATAAGCCACTTTTTATATCATTAAGACACTACCAAACAGTCATATATAGCTGACATAATGAGCTGTGAGTCTCATTAAGTTGCTAACAAACAGGCCCTCAGCCCACTAAATTTTATGTGCTTAAAGGGACGTAGAAATAAGCTTTTGATAGATCAGAAATATTGTTTGAACATGTTAAACACATGGGGAGGACAAGATAATGAATTTGAGATAACTTAATTAGAAATGCTGAATTGAGGCCAGTTATTCCTCAAAATTCAAAGAAGACCGACACTAAACTAACGGCCTTTCTAAACTGATCAGGCAAAGTGTGATATATCCCAATATATCCCACTCGAAAGTAAAACCGAACCAAACAAAACGAACCCAATATATCCCACTCGAAAGTAGGGTCTCAGAGAGATTTTTAGGTATATGACCTTAAGTGAGATTTTAATTAAATCCATGACCCTCTCATGAGTATAAACCTATTTTTTCTTTAATAGGCCAGGAGGTCATGAATTTAATTAGAATTTTTTCTAAGGTCATTTTCTTAAATGACTCAATCTAGGAGGGGTAGGATGTACGCAAACCTTACCTCAACCAAAAGGTCGTGGATTTAATAAGCACTTGTCAGGAGACCCTTTAGCTAAATAGCTAAATAACCCGTAGTATTGTGTACTCAAAGGTCATCCGAATGATCTTCTAGCATTTATGAATTTAGCCAATGGTTACTGACCACAAAACAATTCATTGAATAATACGCTTAACTCTTAAGTCACCGTAATTGAACAGAATTGCATATTTTAGTTCAAGTAATCATGCATTCATTGTTGCTTCAGGTTGTAGTACTCTTATGCCTCTCAGCAGTTCCTTATTAGTTGGATTTATACTCAGCTAAAAGACGGTAAAAACCCTTGTAGTAGCATTAGCCAAAACTCCGATGTTTCATTTGTTGACACTTTTTTCCTTCTTTTTTTCTGTGATCTGCTCTAGTATCTGTGATTAACTTAGGGGTTGTTTGGTTGGTTTTCCATTAAGTACTATATGGATAAAGATGTCTGTGTTGATTAATTTGTCTGTGTTGATTAATTGGGATGGGCAGGTTCAGAAAGAACTTGGCTTTCTGCATAAAGCTGCCCTCTAGAAGCTTATCGGATAAGCCACTTTCTATATCATTATGCCACTACCAAACAGTCATGTATAGTTGACCAAATAAGTTGCGAGTCCCATTAAGCTCATTAAGCTGCTAACAAACAGCCCTTACATAGCCACTACAATATCAGGATTCTTTTGTTACTTTTGAGATGGGTTCATCTCTTATTTTGAGCTTCATTACTATAATGTGCGGATGTACAATATTGTATGTAGACCATATCAGAATTTTTTCTGGCATTAAAAGTGTACTTCAAACCACAGTACCAACTTGGTAAAACGTGGTATCACTTGTTGCTTCTCAAAAGTAGGAAATTACATGGGGAAGTTTGCACATGCATACATTGTCATGGACTCGTAACAGCTGAAAAGATAGCCAAAAAACAACTTGCCTTTCCTGCTCTAACAACTGCAGAAGCATCAAACTGCTTCTATAGTTGTATTAACGTAATTATACCTCTATAACGTAAAATCTTGATATTCTTGAATGCATTTCACTAAACCCATATAGCATTAGAGCTGAGGAGTAATGGAACCAGCTGACCCTTAACATGAAGGGTCATTATCTCGTTGGCACCCCCAATCAGCTGTTGCCCTATGTACACAACTGGTACACTTGGTTTACACCCCAATCCCTTGAGTTCCTTCTCTATTTGCTGTCCCATTGGATGCTCATCTAGCTCATAAATGGTGGGATTTGCTCCAAAACTGCTTATCAATGTCTTAATGGTGTGACACATGCAACAAGAGCTTTTGCTGAATATAACCACCGATCTTTCATTCACCAACGCTGCAACCATGGCCATTTCTGAAAATTGTTGTAGCAAGATGTATAGAAGCAAGTGCTAAATTGGGTAGAAGTCTTGGTGAGGGATAGCTAGAGGGGTATATGTAGAAAACTAGGCGTGTTGGAATGTTTAGATTTTGTTGTGAGTAAACTGAACTCTTGCTAATGCTATATATAGATAATAGCTCTTGAAGTTCTTGGGTTGATGTGCTTACTTGGCACTGAAAAAGATAGATTCTTTTTTCTCTGAAAGATACTACAGTATCATACCATCATTCATCAGGCTTCACAATTGAAAGATCATTAGCATAGTGTAGTATAACAAGTTGCTCATCCGTAGATAGATATGCACGGCAGCATCTTGCATCATTAATGACATCTTTAACCTTGATGCAGCCTTTAAGAAGTTCTGTTCTGTAATATTTATGAAAGGTCAGTATGGTAATTTATGTATATGAACATGCATAGTTATCTATTCATATTTCCATCCCAAATCATCTGCTGAGGTGGAGGAAGATGTTTTCTCAATTGGGTAGACACCCTTTCTTTCTCATTGCACGATTCTAATAAGAAGGTTAACAGTGCCCAACCACCAAAAAAAGGATTGGTAGCCTTTGAAGTGATGATTAGAAATGTGAGCATTTAGAAAAAAAAGGTTCTCTGATCAAGTAGTTGTGCATGGAAAATATCAAAGAATGATGAAAACCACTCGACAACCAATCAAGTACCTAACATTACTTTAATGTGCACAAAAACTATTTCACATCAAGTGATTCGTTGCGAATTATGCCTGTTTAGGCATCAAATGTTTGGTTATAACTTTGAATATAACAATCAATGTGATGACATAAGTTAAACCTAATCATTCCGATTCACATGTCCCTTTAAGGCTTTAACTTGGTTGCAGGTCATTAACTTATGAGTAATATCAGGGACCCCATTTTTAGTAGATGGTTAATATCTTGCATCCTATTTCATTACCAACCGGAAACTGGTAATATTACATTTTAGCTCATGAAGATCTCTATGTTCATGTTAGTTCATCAAACCTGTGTAGGATATTGCAAATTTTTATTTTTTAATTTATAATATAGTGCCGACGTGCTTTCAAAAAATGTGGCGGAATTTAAGTTTATTTCAGAATCTTATGTCCAATACAGTACATAGAACCCGGTATTAGATACTGGCATCTTTCTGCAGCCTTAAGAAGGAAAGAATAATGACCTGGAGGTGGAATTGCATAACTGGCTCAAAACAAAGCGAAGGGTCATTTAACTTCTGTTGCTACACTACCACATTATTGAGTCCTACTGAAACTCCTAAACTTATGTCAATATGCTTCTTGAATTTATTTGGGTGCATTTGTTTGAATATATTTTTAGAATGGTACATAATTCTTGAAAAGTTAAATTGTTCACACTGTTTGGTTACTATATAAAGCAAAATACCCCTTCCGTCCCAAAATAATGTCCACGATGAAAAAGGCTCACAATTAGGAAATATGTAATTATTACACTTTTTAATTAGCTAAATGACAGTTTTGCCCTTACTAATAGAGAGTAAATGAGTAATGAATTTATCCATCTCATAATCAAGGGTAGAATTGGAAAATCAGCACTTTTGAAAGGACACTTATTTTGGGACAAACTAACATAGAAATGTGGACCCTTATTTTGGGATAGTGGCAATGTTATTTTGTCATTTTTTTCTTGGGGTGGTCGTAGAGGAAAAAAAATGTAGGGGTGGAGCATATCATTACTGCCATGCGTACGGCCACCATCTTTGTATATATCTGCATGTCTACGTGGCAGTTTAACATCGAGTCTTGGCATACAATAGGCTCGCCTTTGGCGTGCTTTATGATAGTATTCTTAATGCAAATTGATTGGTTCTTTTTTCCTAGTCTCACTCTCTTCTTTATTTACATAAGCTCTGCTTCTGTGAGGAGACAAACTGGAAAATGCTGAGGATCATTTGTACACTTGGTGTGATGCTGCATTTATGCTTGAGCACTAGATGGAAAAATCACCTAGGAAAAGACATTTCAGGAATAAAATGTACATCATATTATGCTTACACCAATAATACATGCCAACAGGACACCTCCTTTTATCAAATCTACTGCATGAAAACTATATATATACATACATATATACAGGTTCAGGGGAAAATTGCAAAAAAAGGAAAAACTGAGGAACACATTGGTAACCGTTCATCTGGACGGTATGCAAATGTGCATAAAAGTCTTTTGTAAGCAGTTTGTCCGGTATGCACATGTGCATATTGTATAGGTAAATCGTTACCAGGGTGTTTCTCAGTTTTTCATTTTTTGGGGGTTTTCCCTTGAACCTCCCTCCCTATATGTGTGTGTGTGTGTGTATATATATATATATATCTTGGAACATATATCTTGCTATCGAAATCTTGATATGTACAGCTAACAAAAATCAGAAGTTAGGGGATTATTCTCTATCTTAAGTGTTGACATGACCATGTAGAATTTCGATGGTGGTGCTTGGCTCGGGTAGGTCGATATGTAAGCACTTTTAATTTTTTCCATTTAATATCTAGGCATAACACATCATGTTCTGGTGTAACGTGTCAACTAATGGGGATAGATTATGGATGGATGGTTGCTCCCTCCGTTCCAAAAGAAATGCCTAAAATGGAAAAGGCACAATTTTAGAAATGTATAATTATTACACAATGAAAAAGACACAATTTTAGAAATGTGTAGTTATTGTACTTTTTAATCAACTAAATGCAATTGTACCTTCACTAATATAAGGAGTATGAATTTATCCATCTCATGATTAAGGGTAGGCTTCTAGCGTGTAGCTCAGTTGGCAAAGGAGTGAGGCGACTTTGCCCAAATACAAGATAGGTCCTGGCTTCGATCCCAGCCCCCTCCCTCGCGCTTGCCCTAGCCGCTGAGTGAGCCAAAAAGTGCCCCCTCACATTGGTGTCCTTGGAGGCGGACCAGTAACAACTTTTTGCCCTAATAATTAAGGGTAGAATTGGAAAATAGGCACTTACTTTTAAAAGTTAATACTTATTTTTGGGACAAACTAAAATAGACGGGAGGACACTAATTTTGGGACGGAGGTAGTATTTTATTTCCTTTTTGGGGCTAACTGCAGCCAGAGGGAATTTTCTTAACCAAATAGCAGAACAAGCTTTCTAAAAACTGAATTAACAACAGAAATATGTGATTTCAGGTGAAGGTGAGTATCCCAGTTGAAACAAGCCAAAGAAACTGTGAAAGAAAGGTTTGTTTTCTGGTTTAGCTTGTAAGTTTCACTTTTAGCAGGCAAAATTTTATCATATTTTTCAACATTTTCTTTTCTTCCGTTGCCATGGAGAGGACTTAATTTCTTTCTTTCCCTTTTCTTCAAGTCTTGAACGTCCAAGATTGTTATGTATTTCTTGAGTTCTTATTCTTGGCAATCTCAAAGTTTCATGAACATGGAAAGGTTGCTGGTTATGACTAGTAGAGGGAGGTTCAGGGGAGACCCCCCAAAAAATGAAAAACTGAGGACCACCCTGGTAACCATTCATCTAATACAATATGCACATGTGCATACAAGTAATTGAAGTTGTTTCTTGATTTCTATGCACGTATGCATATTATGCACATGTGCATTCCAAACAAATTGCTTACAAATGACTTGTATGCACATGTGCATACCATCCAAATGAATGGTAACCAATGTGTTCCTCAATTTTTTATTTTTTTGTGGTTTTCCTCTGAACCTGACTCATGACTAGTAATAGTACATAATTATTAGTTATCTGCATTTTCCGCAGCAAGTTTTTTGAAGCTTTAACAGGTCATTTATGGATCAATACAAGCAAGCAATAATATCCAGTACCTGTGATGCACTAATAGATCATGACTTATCTAGAAGAATCGTTGGCTCATTGTGATTGGCCATAAGTGAACAGTTAGCAAATTCTCATAACTTTACTGCGATTCTTAAATAGTAATCGTCATCCAGAATATTGAAATAGAAGCTTTTATTTTATGCCTGAGAGATTCTGTTGGATAGTGACTGCATAGTTAAAGTTTTCAATGCTAGTTTTTGCTTATTTCTTGGTGAACATTGTCATGCCCCACTCCCTAGAGATACACTCTGCAGTATCCCATAATTTACTATAAACAATAACCTGTCAACGAGACATTTTATTTTTCTATTTTTTTTTATTTTAAGAAAAAGCAGTAGTACCCATTAAAATGATTACGTTATAGCTTGTTTTAGCTTAATAGGCTGTTAAGCTCATTCTTTTTGTTGATATCAATAGTTCAGAGGACAATGTATAAATGGAAGGGAAAATACTAGACAGGACAAAACAGAATACTGATCACTGTTCCATGTTTGTTATGTAGAGTGGAGTAGAGTGGATCAGGCGTGTTCCACCCCCACCCCATAGAACAAGATGGAACAAGCTTATATTTTACCAATATACCCTTAAAATAAAACATAATTCTCTTATAAACCGTCAAATACACACCCCTCTTTACATTCTATCCATTCTCTAAATTATATTTATTGTATTTTATCATCTTTAAACTTTCACTTTACTATTATCAAAATATCATTTTTATACGTTTTCTATGTTTTGGTTAAATTTATGTAATTTATCAAGTATTAGTAAAAATAATAATATAGAAAAGGTATAAAATAAAATTTAGANAATATAGAAAAGGTATAAAATAAAATTTAGAAATTATATAAACTTCATATTTTGGTGTCATTTTAATCATCTTGACGGAAACTTTCTAATGATATACTTTGTTATAAAAAAACATTTATTTTATAATAATTTAATGAAGTACATAAATTAATCAAAAGATATAAACAACTCATTAGGGTTAAATTGATCATTTTACCAGTCCCGTCTTACCAAATGTTGAATAACTGTCCTGTTCTTCTGGGTACCAAACGCACCATTAAGAAACCTAACAACTAAGAAAGAGTTGTTTCTATTGATATTGGTTTTGACTTGGCTAACCTTATGGTGTTGGAGTGAGAAATTCTCTAGATTGACTTATCAATTGTCATGCACCGATACCATTTTATCACACCCCCAAGATTCTTTAATAGATTGTTTTCAAAAGTTTGCCTCAAGAAATTAAAGATCTGCATACTTAATTAAAGAATATATCCCCACTTTACCCAGAACATAAAATTATTATTATTTGATGCAAGGAACAAGACCTCACATTAGTGTATATCTATCTATGATTATATATGACTGTTCATTCATATGGGCATCGAGCGATTTGTCATTGTGGGTAGGAAGAGATACCATGTGTCAACTTGATTATTTTCAAGCAAATCATCAGGAGCATTATTCTTATCCAGACAAATATCCAAAAAGAACTTTTCTTTTACATATTTTATATGCCTTTTCTTTTTCCTTTGGTGATTAAACAATGCAATTGGTGACCCTCAGTATCCCCTATATAAGAAACTATGCAACCTCAAAGTCTACCAAGATAAGCCTTACAAGCACATCTTACCTCTAATCTGCTATTTTAGCATTTGCCTGCTATTCCAATTTCCAACTGAATTCCTCTATTTCTTCGGTATACTAAACATTTTGCTAAAAATGAATAGAGTAATAGACTTGGCATCTAAGAAAGCGGCGGTGATCTTCACCAAGAGTTCTTGTTGCATGTGCCACAGTATCAAGGCACTATTCTACGAACTTGGTGCAAGTCCTGCGATTCATGAAGTTGATCATGATGCAGATATGGAGTGGGCCCTACAACGCTTAGGTTGTAATCCCGCTCTCCCAGCAGTGTTTATAGGTGGTAAATATGTAGGCTCAGCCAGAGATGTCATTTCCCTTCATGTTGATGGATCACTGAAACAAAAGCTTATTGAAGCAAGAGCTATCTGGTTCTAGCTACTAGCATCACCATAAGAAAATAAAAAAAAACTGTTTCGGTTTATGTTATAGTAAGATAACCAACTAGCTCCTCCCACATCATGTTAGAATAACATGATTGTAAGTGTACTTAGAGCTGCTCTTTTTTGCCTGCTCTCTTTTGTCACTGTACATAAAGGAGTCACACTGTTAATTCTTGGCTTTCTAGTCTTCAAGATTCATACTTTATTGTGGTTATTGCTTTCTTTATGTTATTTTCATTATGGGATATCAGTGATAAATACGATTAACTACCCTTTTAAGCGGTATTGAGCTAGCAGAATAAAGAACTTCAAATTCTGATGATCTGACACCTTTTGGCAGAGAAATTATCCTCCTTGTCCCTTGTGACAAGTGAAGAACTATGTCCTTACTTCCATCAATGATCAAAGAGAGGTGATGTTCCTTTACCTTATGGTTAGAAATAATGTGTTGCTGGTGACTACTAGGTGTTGTTTGGTTGTGGCTTAATGGGCTGAATAGGTTGTATGGCTGAGGGGTAAAATAGTCATTTTTGTTATCCAGACTGTTTATTCAGCACAACAACATAAGCAATATAGCTTAATCCATACAAACAACTTAAATCCTTACATGGCTTAATGGAAAAACAACCGAACAACACTTTAATCTCACTTGATTTGGGGTTGTGAACATCATTACCAATGACATGGTGCTTTGACTTTTCACCCACAAGTCTTTTCTCCTGAGATCCCAACATTATTGTAAGGGCCTGTTTCTTAGTAGCTTGATGAGCTTAATGAGACTCATAACTTATTCAGTCAATTATACATGATGGTTTGGTAATGGCTTAATAATATAGAAAGTGGAAAACCAATTAAAAAACATGTTTCCGAATAAGCCACTTCCATCTATAAAAAAATCCTCCCAAACAAACAAAAACTTTCTCAATCTATACAAACAGATTAATCTACACAGACAACTTTATTCATGCATGACTTAATAGAAAACCAACCAAACAACCTTTAGATGTTGTTCGGTTGTGGCTTAACGGGCTGTATGGCTGAGGGGTAAAATAGTCATTTATGTCATTCAAACTGCTTATTCAGCACAACAACCCAAGCAACTTATCTTAATGTAAAAACAACCAGGAAATACTTTAATCTCACTTGAGTTGGGGATTTGAGCATCATTACCATTGACTCGGTGCTTTGACTTTTCACCCACAAGTTTTTCCCCTGAGATCCCAACATCATTGTAAGTCACCTCTTGCACACGCTTGTGACTTGATCATTGACTTCGATTAGAATTCCAATTTAACCATATCCTGGAAAATGTTCATATCTTGTCAAGTCCCTGAATAATATAAAATTTCATGTTTAATCCTGTGATAGTAGAGTGAGTCTGAGGTGTCAAACTGTGGATAGATGGAACAGGACAGTGCAGGCAGCTTGAGTCTGCCTTGCACGGTTAGGATCATTATCTCAATTCAACTCAAGATCGAACATAGATTATAATATCCGCCTCGAGTTTGATATAGGAAAACTCAAATACTTGAAACACTCGGGTTAACTTAGAATCTTTCATGAAATCATGCAAGTGAATACCTTGAATTCTAGTTTCTTGAAGAAAAAAATTGTAGAATCAGAGATAAATCAGTTTACATTATAGGAAAATAAGTTATTAACTTATTAATATATAAAGATTTGAAATTTAACTTATTAATCTTATCATGGAAAATGAAATGAGCTTAGACCATTTTCACGAGTCGACTATGTTTGGAGCCTTACTCTAGAACTTAAGGTTGCAAGCTTAATGATTTAAATCAAGGAATATGAATTTAGCTTCTTGTGAAATAAACTTAGACCATTTCACGGGTACAATATGTGGGAATAGACATCTTTTGACTGGTTCTCATTACCAACTAAAATTGCAGGGGGCGTTGAAATTTAACAAGTTTAAGAAATTTTCTCTTGGGCTGCTCAACTGTTAACTAACCCCTCCAAACAAGAGACGTTGTGTTACTTATCATGCAACAGCAGCAAAAAGAGCTTCCAAAGAAGGGCCAAAAGGGTTTCAAAATTACCCCCTTTTTTCTCTAAAAAAGAGTATTTATGAAAACTTCAGTATTGCTATATATATATATATATATATATATATATATATATATATATAGAGAGAGAGAGAGAGAGAGAGAGAGAGAGAGAGAAAAAGGGGGGGGGGAGGTACAGGGGAACCGAACCCCCTCCCCAAAAAAAAAGAAAAAAAAAAGAAAAATGGAACACCCAGGTAACTCACATGTGCATACAAGTAATTGAAGTTGTTCTTGGTTTTTATGCACATGTCATACTGGATAAATTGCTTAGAGATTACTTGTATGCAAATGTGCATACCGTCCAGATGAACAGTTACCAGGGTGTGCGTCAATGTTTCAAATTTTTACGGTTTTCCCCTGAACCTGACCCTATATATATATATATATATATATATATTTCGAAAATGGGTCTCTAGGATCCTGAAGGCTTGTGTTTCTTGTAGGATATGGGTAGATCGTTGTAAATCATATGCAAGCAAGAGTACAAGACCTGGCCTACGCTCATTTATCAGGCTGCATAACCTGCCCATTTCCGTAGATCTCTAATAAGCATTGAAGTATGAAGGTGAGTATTATCAACACAAAGGTTTGAGAATGGGTCCTTTGCAAAAATGACCTTTTGAAGGGTTTTTCTAAATTCATGACCTACCTTCTGACAGGTTTGAGAACGCTACTGCTTTAACAGAAGAATGCCTAGAAACCTGTCAGAAGGTCATGGATTTAAAAAGCACTTGTTAGGAGATCATTTAGCTAAATAACCCCATCCATAATCTTGATATTGTTCGTGCAGTAAACCCCTTTCCTTCTTTATCAAATCCATTATAAGAAAATCAAGATTCATGGAAAATTTATTTTTCCCAATGCATTGTTTGGATGTAATCAAGTTTTGACTCATTAATAATGGAGCAAAATTTATGAATGCTCTCACACCTACAAGATTCACAGGTGTTAAAGAATGCATTTGTTAGAGTTGCACATTGGCTAGACATGAACCATTTCTCTTATTCTGTTGGGACCTCCCTTCTCTCCTTAAGGGGCTATTTTGGAAAATAAATCTAGGGTTCCACATATTCTCACATGGTATCCGAGCCAAGTTCTAGCACTCCAGGGACTCAACACTACAGGGTAATATGGACTCGTCTAGCCCTTTCGTTTGTCTAGCCCCCTCTCAACACTCTAGGACAACATGCCCGTCTAGCCTCTGTTGGAGGGGGTGTGTTAGAGTCCCACATTAGCTAGATTTGGACCATTTTTCTTGAACATATGTTGGAACCTCCCTTCTCTCCTCAATGTATTCGTTTGGAGAATAAATCTAGGGTTCCACATATTCTCACAATATTCAAGTTGGTGGCCATGTTACAAGAATCATAGCTTGCCGAAAGCAATCTCATTCTAAATATATCAACTCTGAGAATATAGTTAAGATGATAGAAAGAATCTGGTTGAAATAAAACTAACCACCCTAGGAATCTTTCGGTTTTTTAGTGGACTTCTGCTGCTAGCTAGCGAGGTCCATAGAATGTGCAGGAATCAAATTCATGGTCCTTAGCTTCTTCATCGTCATTTGAACCAGTCCATCTGTGTGTATCAAATGGTCATAACGTGTTCCAAGATGAAAGTTTACGCAAATGCAATAAAGAATATGTGTTCTACTTGTTCCTTAGTGTGCGGAAAGGAAAAAAGTTTCCATCTTTGAAAAGTACCTTTAGTAGTTTTCGAGCATCTAAGTAATAAAGCACCTCATTTGAATGTTCTTGTTTGGAGAAAACGAGTCCAACATTGCCCTGTTTTATATAAATAGATGTAGGACTAGAAGCTAGAAGTAAATCAAATCTCACATCTTTCTCTTCGACCCTTCTCCTAGTTTCCTTCCATCAGATCAAATTTCATCTCGGATTTGATCCTGGTGGATTTGCGACACGTGGCATTGTTCTAGGTCGTTTCAAAAACAAAACCCCAAGATGGACAAGATACAGTCATTGATATCAGAGAACGGAGTTGTCATTTTCAGCAAGAGCTCCTGTTGCTTGTGTTATGCTGTGACCATTTTGTTCCAAGAGCTTGGGGTGGAGCCATTGGTTCACGAGATCGACCATGATCCGGAGGGCTGGGAGATGGAGAAGGCACTTGTGAACCGCGGGTGCACCTCGCCCCCTTTCCCTGCTGTATTCATTGGCGGCAACCTCATTGGGTCCACCAATGAGGTCATGTCTCTCCACCTGAGTGGCTCCCTTCTTCCCCTGTTGAGGCCATATCAGATACTGGCTTAGAAAAACTACGAAACTCGAAGAAATAAGTCTGGCTCAAGACCATGCTGCAGCTCGTTTTATTATTTTCTTAGCTTTTATTAGTGTAACCCAATTAGCTTAAATGTCTAGAAAGGAAGTTTGAATGTAGGATGATATTATTAGTAGCTTTCAGGTTAATGAATTTAGCTGTCTTGATCTATTCACATGTGATTAATCATGATTAACGACATGGGTATCCCTATTATGAATGTGATTGTTAAGTCGGGTTATTTAGCTTTCATTAGTGAAAGCGAGTTAGCTTAAATGTCTAGAAAGGAAGCTTGAATGTAGGATGATATTATTAGTAGCTTTGAGGTTAATGAATTTAGCTATCTTGATCTATTCACATGTGATTAATCATAATTAACGACATGGGTATCCTTCATATGAATGTGATCGTTAAGTTGGATTAGTAAGCTAAATGACCTCCTCACAAGTGTTTTTTAAATCCATCATCTTCTGACACGTTTCTACTCATTTTTGTATATTCTTCCGTTTAATCGTGACATTCTAAAACCTCATTTAAGGTTATAAAATGACCCGTTTCTACAGAGCACTGTCTGGCCTCCATTTGAGGGGGTATATTGGAATTTCACATCAGCTAGACAAATACCATCGAACCACTATATACGTATGAACCTCCCCTTTCTCTATACAAGCTCTTTTGCAGAGTAATTTAACAGGGTTTCCACATATTCTCATAATACGTACATATTAATTCCATTTTCACCCCTGAAACAACCTTATTTTCCGTTCCAAGAAAAAACAAGAACCGAAGGCCATGGCCTTTTTGGAGCTTGTGGTTTACTTCAGTTTGTTCTTTCCGTCTGCTCAAACCAGGAAATACGATGGGGGAATATATCGAACCTCTGACTTCCGTTAGCAAAAAGTTATAAAAGATATATTCTTCACTTTTAGATAAAGATAGGAATGCAATGCCTATGCTTTCATTTTCATTCTCTCTTTTTCTAATAATTATCTTGGTGTTTTTTTCAGTCCGAAAAGTTCCAGCGAAGACGATCGGCTGGAAATATCGACCCCGTTCGCCTGTCGGTAAGGTAGCTTCTTCGTTAAACTTGCTTCTTTTCTGATCTGCATATTCCCCCTTTCTAGCAAAGCAGCATACATGAAATAGCAATACATGTTACAAACTGATAGGGCCGAGTCCTGTAGCTGATAAGTTAGTTGTTGGCTGACAAGTTAGCTGTTGGCTGATAAACTCAAAATGGAGAATTATAATTCAAAATCTCCTAAAAAATTACCTTCAAGTTATAATGCTTCTTCATTTTGGAGAATTTGTTTAAAATATTCTAACTTGAATGTCATAGTTTTTTTTTAATTAACCTGGATATCCAACCCGCTATGCGAGCCGACTAATCATAAGACGACCACCTGCTTTACGAGTCGTCCAGAGTCACCGCATTTTAACCTCCATGATCATAAGGGATTTAAGAGTACATAGGAACAGATCCTTGTCCCTCTATCCACCAATTACGTTAAAAGACATCATAGAGAAAGAAAACATAAATTAAATAAAATTATATTAAATAAAGTAATTACGTGTCATCAGGTAATTGATGGGACAGAGAATGGACTTGAGATTTGCGGACATGGGATTTTTATTCAAGTTGACAGAATGACGATACTCAAAGGTTGCACCTTGATTCTGTCTGCCAAAAAAGGTTTAGCTATCCCGGGGTGGAATCCGAAGAAAATGGCGAATACCAATCTTTTTGCGAATCGATTCCCATCGATCTCGTTCACAAATATCTAGCAGAATCACGAAAATGCTCGGTTGGTTGGCTTTAAAATTTCTGAAGTTCGCTGCTTGCCACGTCTTCTTTTTGGTTTCGTGAATGAAATTAGTTTGTTCGTTTTAGCCAAGTGACTATGGATCTTGTTCCAGACATGGAATTAGATATTAATCGAATCGGCGGCTTGGGGATCGTTTCTCGACGTTTTGGATACGAGCCTCTTCAAACAGGGCTTATTGCTATTGTTTCAATGATTCCGATAGGACGTGGTCAGCGAGGATTACGTATAAAAGATCTTGCAAACGGGTTTTGTTAATTACGATTTCTAGATCAATTTAAATGTTAGAACTTGTTTTGATGTAAAACCTATATCGGTATTTGTAGTAATTGTATCAATATAATTAATATATTAAATATTTACGAGATCAAGAAAATAGACGAATAAATAGAGACGTCTTAGCCCGCACCAGGCCCAAATCATATTCAGGCCATGTTGTTAGCAGTTTAACGAGTTTAATGGAATTTCACAGCTTATTCAGTCAGTTATACATGACTATTTGGTTGTTGGTTAATGATATAAAAAGTGGCTTACTCAGTAAGCTTCTAGGATGAGTTTCATGGAAAAAGTGAAGTTTTTTTTCCAGATCTATCCCTCCCAATTAAAGAACACGTTCATTCTATATATGACCTCCCAAACAAAAACTTTCTCAATCCATACAAACAGTTTTGTCATAAAAATTTATTCGGTTTTATTTAAAACAAAAAAAAGGTTTATTGGCGGGGATCTCATGGCCCGTGGTCCACATTTTGTGAACCCTACTTGTCATACCTCATAAGCAAATGTTTTTTCCTCCAACACTGTGTATCAGCCAATTATAACTGATAATGCGAAATCATATACTTTGTACCAGCCAGCTGTATTTGGTAGCAGTTTAACTATTACCAACTTATTTTCAGTTGGCACATGTTCGTACTTACCAATTTCAAGCTACATATATGAAAACTTGGTATTTTGTTCAAAATTTAAGTGACATTTTGAGTTTCCAAAGGTTTAAGTGTTTTTAGTTACAAGAAATACAACTTGTAAACATTCAGATGTTTAAACAAAATCGACACTGATACAATGTTTGATATTCATTGTATAAAAAACACAAAAAACATAAAAATAATAAAATAAGTCGATACCATAGTACTATTGTGGTATGCAACTTCCAGTACCAGTATTGATCAAGTTTACTTTTTTGATATGATACTACCAACCGTCTGTAATCGATACCTCTTGAATTAGTATCAGTTTAGTTAGTACGTTTGATTCATATATTGACTGGTTTGGTTTGATCTGGTACAAAATTGTCATCCTTGTTTTATCCGTAGGAATGGCAATGGGCCGGATTTGGACCGGGTATTGGTATCTCCGTCCCCGAAACCGATAGCTAAAACCGTCCCCGTAACCGCCCCAATCCCCGTTGGGGATCCCCATTGGGTCCTCGTGGTTTCCCCGATTCCCGTTGGGGAACCCGTTAAGGGTAAAAATCATCTTTTTCACCGTTGGTTATAACCGAAACCCGAAACCGATCTGGAAAAAATTACAATATGCTAATTTTCACAATTAAAAGTAATTTCAATTTTTAAAAAAATGTAAGTTTAAATGTCTCAAAATAATCGAACCAATTACAAACAATGTATTAGATTATAATATAAAACTAAATAGAAATTCAAACATCATACAACTAAAATCATTATTTTAGTCAAATAAACTAGACTTTTTCGTATGATTTATTTGGGTTGTTGAGGTAAAGGGAATAAAAGTCTTTTAAATTTTAATGTTACTATTTTCTTTTAATGATATTATATATATATATATATATATATATATATATGCATATAAATTAAAATTATTATATATATATATCGGGCCGGGCCGGTGATCACCGTTCCGAACCGATCACCGCTAAAATCCCTGTCCCGTCCCTGATAAGATATCCCCGAACCCGATCCGAAAGGTTCGGTTTTCGATTTTCACCATTGGTTTCGGTTTTTTTTTTCCCATCCCTATTTACCCATTAACCAAAAATTTAAATAGCATTTTAATTTGGAAAATTATCAAATCAACCGATTTTTTCAATCAAATTCTCTTTTTAATCAATGTAAATTTAATTTCACAAATGGCTTAAAAAATAAATTTGGTTAAAACTTGGGCATTTAATATATAATAAAAAAACTAAAAAGGTGAAACCGAAAAAAGGCTTTTATTTTCTCCAAATTGCTTGAAATCGTCGTCAATCTTCCAAACCCTAATCGTCTTGAATCAATAAAAGCTTCTGGTCATGTTTCTCCTTCGTCAATGGCGTTTTTATCAGGTAATATTATCAATTTCTCTTTATATTTTTAGCATTTATCATCTTGATTTTGCTTACTAGAACGAAATTTTTGCTGGATTTGTTCCTTCGCGATTATAATCATCTTGTAAACGTAGGATTAAACTGAGTCGATTAACATTTTCTGATGGCGATCTGTTGTTTAACGTTCTGAATGATTGGGATTCCGTTAGTAATTTAGGGTTTGTAGATCGTATCTTGATCTTGATGGTTTCTTATTGTGTATCGCAGTAACGAACTAGTGTATCGCCAGCTATTGGATCATATGAAGTGCTCAGTCTCTTCTGGAATCCGTGGCTCAAATGTATTATCCGCTCATGTTCTTTGTGATTACGGACTTTTCCAGGTTTGGCTTCCACTGAAGATGATTTAATTTGATTTTGTCTGGTATACCATAATTGTTTGTGGCTGGTGGTCTGTTTTCTTTACAGGAAGGAGTCAATTATCTAACGAAAAGAAGAAGAAAATAGAAGTTATGGGAGTTCTTTGAATTGGGTTAGTGAATATAGGATCACAATATATTTTCTTTTTATCGATACACCCGGTTGTCGTTCCTTTCATAGAAGCTGTGTCATCATCAAAGATAAGTTGGATTGTGCTTGCGAAAGGTTTGTTTCTACATAAAATCGACCCACCTCATCCTAGTGATCATAGATTGAGGAGAGATAAGAAAACGAAAATGACTTCCCACTTGATGAGATCCTACTTATATGTTTATAATAATTGTTGGGTTATCCTCTTTGACGAGTATATAGCAAGTATTCTTATGATAATTGTCCTGTATGTTTTACAGTAATTGTGTGTTTATCATCATTCATGAGGTTATAGAAAGTAGGGTCAGTTCAGGGGAAAGCCGCAATAAAATGAAAACTGAGGAATACCCCTGTAACCGTTGGTCTGGACGGTATGCACATGTGTATACAAGTAATTTGTTAGCAATTTCTCCAGTATGCACATGTGCATAACTTGCAATCGTACATAAAACCAAGAAACAATTTCAGTTACTTGTATGCACATGTACATACTGTCCAGATTAATGGTTATCCGGGTATTCCTCAGTTTTTCATTTTTTGGGGTTTTCCCGTGAACCTCCCTCACAGAAAGTATTGTTATGATAATTGGCTTGTTTCAGTTTTCAACTTTAAGAATTCTGTGCAGGTGAATTGGAGAGACATATTCTTGTGTCTGGTTGTTTTGTTGACTTGTTGCTGCTAATCCAGAAGCTTGGTTTGAAGGAAAAGGTATATAATGGCTGGAGGCAATGAACAGATAGAACTTAAATTCAGAATATATGATGGAACAGATATAGGCCATAGCAGCTATGCATCGTCAACTACTGTAGCTGCCCTTAAGCAGAAGCTTGTTTCTGAGTGGCCTCAAGGTTCACTTATCTTCTCCTTTTCTTTATCTTATTTCGCTGCAAGTTCCTTGAGGGTGCGGTACAGAACAGAACAGGGATCGTTGTTACATGTTTGGTATGACTTTTATCTGGAACATGGTGGAACAGACGTGTTCCAACCCCCCCTCCCCCCTTCCCCCCGGAACAAGGTGAAACAAGTCTATGCTTTACCAATATACCTCAAAATAAAACATACATCTCTTCTAAAACATCAAATACGTCTTCTTCTTTACATTTTATTCATTCTTTAAATTTTATATATCGTATTTTATCCTCTTTAAACTTTCATTTTACTGTCCTCAAAATATCATTTTTTATACTTTTCCTATATTTTGGTTATTTGTGTAAATTTATTAAATATTAATAATAATAAATAATATTGAAAAGGTATAAAATAAATTTTGGAAATATATAAAATTCATATTTTGGTTTCATTTTAATGGTTTTGACAAAACGTTATACTGATATATTGTTACAAAAAATATTATTTTATTATAATTTAATAAATTACATAAATTGATCAAAATATAAAAAAGATATAATCAAATCATCAAGGATAAATTGGTCATTTTGGCTGTCATGTCCGGTGCTATCTTACCAAATGTTGAACAATTGTCGTGTTCTGTCCTGTCCTGTCTGGATACCAAACGCACCCTGAATGTTTATACTATTGTTTTCTTTGATTTGCCTTCATGACCTGTATTATGTGTTGAAAAACTTGATGAGGTGGCATGTGATAAACGTAAAATGCAAGACAAGGGGAATCCCATATGGGTAAATTTTGTGGGCCACTGGGAATATTGCACAACAGTGACTACTAATATTCTCTAAATACCTACATGGCTGCATGCACTAACATTTATTCTGTTGTATCTGATGCAAAATCGATTCATTATGCTTGTGGATTTTGTTGTACGTAATGAAACAGTTTGCATCTTTTATAATTTGTGATACGCAAACTATCTCTGTTTCCAGAATAGTGAAATGCATTTTTTTTTCTTGCTTTAACCTTGTTCCATAATACTGTTTTGGGTTTTGCAAGATTGACTATGATATGAATTCTATTTGGTTTTAATCAATTGTCGCTAAAAGGTAAGATAATGATCATCCAGCAGATTTCCTTGTGCCGTACTACCTTTTGTCCAATCATTACATCACAAAATAAGTTGTACTTCAAACTCGATGCTTAGTTTTTGATAAACAAAATAGGTTTTACTATTGCAAAACTTGTGTATGGCCGGTCATCTTTGTGGATTGAATTTTGATGAAATTGTGCTTTTTGTTGTCGTATTTTGCATAGTATCTTGTTGCAATTATATGATATTAGAGCTTTTCCAATAGATTCTCTAAAATGGAGAATCAAAAGTCAAAATCTCCAAAGAAAATTTATATTCATCTCCAACAGCTTCTCCATAGGTAATCATTCTGGGGAATCTGTTGTAGCAAAAATCTTTAAAATCCCCATTTTGGAGAATCTGTTGTAGCAAAAATCTTTAAAATCCCCATTTTGGAGAATCTGTTAGAGATGTTTTTAGGTTCTATTTTAAAAAATGATTCATTTCTTTGAAAACACATGATCCGGCTATCTGGGTGTTACATTTTCTCATCATGGATTATCTAGTTATATCCACTTTTATGTGCTCAAATCTTGTATATTTATCAGTCATTTGAAGATGAAAAATGGGTACAAATCTTTTATATGCATTTATGCTATAAACATTCAGATCATCACGCCCACATATTGCATGTAACGCATTTGCATGTGTATCTTGGTTTATCTCTTGATGCCTTTATTTACTTTGAACTCAGCTCTTTGCCATTATCTGTAACTCAGTTATGCCCTTTTTAATAGGTAAATCTGTAGTACCCAAGACTGTGAATGACGTAAAGCTTATTCATTTGGGAAAAGTTTTGGAGAACAATAAGACACTATCGGAATCTGGAGTACATGATGGTGCCTTTGCAGGAGGAGTAATCACAATGCATGTCGTCATTCAACCCGTTCTCACTAAAAAGAAGACATGTCAGTTTTATTACTGTTTTTTTTGTATTATTTCTGGGGGAAAAAGCCATGAAAATTCTGAAACAAGAATTTCATGGGCGTCACAGCTTATTCGATCAGTTATACATGACTATTTGGTGTAGTGGCTTAATGATATAGAAAGTGGCATATTCAGTAAGCTTCTAGAGGGAGCTTTATGCAAAAAGCGTAAGCTTTTTCCAAATCTGCCCATCCCAATTAAAAAACATGTTTCTTCCATTTATGAAAAAACCCTCCCAAACAAAAACTTTTCTAGTCTACGGACAAATTAATCTACACAAACAGCTTTATCCATATAGGACTTCATAGAAAACCAACCAAACAGCCCCTAAATTCTGTATGGATGAAGCTGTCTGTGTGGATTAATGTGTCTGTATAGATTGGGAAAAATTTTGTTTGGGAGGACTTTTTTATGATGGAGTGAGTGTATTTTTTAATCGGGAGGGACAGGTTTGGAAAAAAAAACTTGGCTTTCTACATATAGCTCCCCCTAGAAGCTTACCAAATAAGCCGCTTTATGTAACATTAAGCCACTACCAAATGGTCATGTATGGCTGACTGAATAAACTTGAGTCCCATTATGCTCATTAAGCTGTTAACAAATAGGCCCTAAGAATACATGACCACATGCACCCTATTTTGTCAAATCCCATCTCTCCGGATATTCATTCGTGATGCTTAAACTCTGTTTCGACTTACTGCACCATGACGGTGCGTTTGGTACGTGGGACAGGTGACTGGTGAGAACAAAAACTTGTTGTCCCATGTTTGGTGCAACCTGGTTAAGGACCGGGGGGATGTAGTGGAAATCTCGTCTTCCCTAGGTTCGAATCTAGGCGCTGCCAAAGCCCTTGTGGCTATGGAGGTTCACATGCGATAACTCCAGGCTATTCGTGGTAGCCTGGGGGGTTAGTCCATGCACGTAAGCTGGCCCAGATACCCACCGTTACCCAAAAAAACAAAAACAAAAGTTTGGTGCAACCATTATACTGGTACAGGACGTGACTGACACCAAAATAGGTGGAACAAATGTGACAAGATTGGTAAATTACTAAATTATCCATGTAAAGTTAAAACCCTAAAACCTTATGCTATTCTTTCACTCGTTCACCTGACTATCGCCTGTCAAGTCCCGTCCGCCTACCAAACACACACTGATTGTAAATTGCCATATTAGCACACGAGAGCATTTAAATTGAACATGCTATTGCATACATACAAAGGATCAAAGCTTGCAGTAAAAGGTCACATAACTGTAGTATATATTTTTACGAGTTGGCTTAATGTGTTAATATTTACAGTTAAGTGACGGGATAGAATTTAATGGCCGTATTATAATCCATCTTTTATGCAATGCCAGCCAAAAAACAAGACGAGATGGGAAAGCTGAATGCGTGTGGATGCACAATCCTGTAACTGGGGTTCGATATGTGACTAGATGATCTTTGGGTGAGCTTGATGTTGTGGAAATCCGAAGTCCTATCTTTTAGACCATAATATGACAGTCGGGAATCGAGAGGTTTGTTTGTAGTGCGTGTTGTATTCGGTTTCTTCTTTTTCTTGTATATCAAAATCCTTTCGAGCGGGTTCTGTATGTGAGTGTTGGACTGCTTTCTGGCCAATCTCACTAAAGCCAAAGCTTGTAGAGCCACGGTTTGTTGGGGAGTTTACGTTTCTAGTTGACGGTGTCGTATTCGATTGCATACGTGTTTTTTTTGGTGGAAAAGGATACAAACGTTTCTTTGGTTACCCAAGTTACTGATAGAGCCTAATCTTTTTCAGATGTCAGGGTTTAAGCCTTGATTTTATAAATTCTATATACTTTAAAAAGAAACACTTCTTTGCACTATATCACGAAATCCTTTTAATCATTCTGATCACTTAATTATTTTACATCAAACAATTTAGTAACTGTCAAACAATACCTAAGGGATTATTTGAGTATTTCAATTGTTATGTCAAATAAACATTTTGAGTTACAAAAATAACTATTTCACCCTTTTATTTATTACATTTTTTTAATTTATAAACAAAATATTTTTATATTTAATGTGAATGATTAAGAGACTCATGATATAGTACAAAATGAAATATAATTGTTTGGTAATTATGTATAATGAAATTAGGGTTCTTAATGATTAAGAGAGATTCATGATACAAAATCATTCAGAGGGTTTTAGAACTATTAAGAGACAGACTTTTTTTTATCAAACAAAATTCATCTCTTAACGATTCAGAAGTTGCCTCTTAATGAAACTATTAAGAGGTAAACAAACAACCCCTTAACGATTCAGGTGTTGTCTCTTAATCAAACTATTAAGAGGTAAACAAACAACCTCTTAACGATTCAGAGGTTGCCTTTTACAAACCTATCCCTAAATTCTTAATTAAAAAAAAACACGCCCCTTTCATTGTTCGTATTTGATTTGTATTTAGAGACGGTTATATCACATGTAGTTGATAGAAAATATGGAATGAGTTTAATCAACATTGTTGATTATCTATACATACGGTTGAGATTGGTTTATAAAATTTGTAACAATTAGGCTATATTTGGCAAACTAGTTGATAAGCTAGGTTATGGTTGAAAAACTAGTTGATGACTAATAAACTAGTTTTTAGCTAATAAGCTAACTTGTAGCTGATGAACAAATTATGTTTGGCAAAAACTAGCCTATAAGCATTGTAAAATGACCAGAAAATGCATCTCAAAACAATAGTCAGTTACAAATATTTCATAATATGAGTAAAATAATTTTCTAATAATATAATTAAAACAACTTTTTAATGATGTAATATGTTAATTAATCCAAACAAGATATATATATATATATATAATACAAATTTTGAATTTGTTAAGAAGAATTTCAGGAAAAAAAAGTCTACCTTAATCTATGATATGAATAAAAATAAAACTGGTCAACCTCACATATCTTAATTAATAACTATTTTTTACAAAAATATTTAATAATTAAACTAAATATTTTATTAAAATTATTTACTTATTTAGCATATTTTAATTATCTATGAARTAAAATAAGTATAACTTTGAACTTTATATAACTTACATAAAAGATAAATGTCTTATCTAAAGACGTTCTAATATGTTTATATGACGTTTTTTGATGTCGTAATAAGTTTTTTAGGACACTTTTAATATAAAGCGTCTCATTAGGAACTTTGTAGGACACTATTTGAAAAAATGTCCTATAAAAACAAATGTTTTATAAAAAATTGACTTTATATGACACTTTCTCAAAAGTGTCCTACAAAGTTGTTAATACGACACTTTATATTAAAAATGTCCTAAAAAACTTGTTAAGACGCCAAAAAACGTCATATAAACTTATTACAACACCTTTAGACATGACACTTTATATTTTGGCCATATAAATTAAGTTTTATAAAACGATCTATTTAGACATTTAGCACAATTTTGTTGTAAAGAATAGACCACGAGGAATTGTTAGAATCCCACTCAACTTCGTTGGAAATGTTTTCTCCATTGCCTTGTGAAAACCTTAAACAAACAAACAAATTATACCCTACCCTCGATATTAAGACTTTTGGGTTGTTTATCGGGACAACATCTCGATCAATGACATAATGTGTTACATGGTGTGGATTATATTACTTTTGATTCAATTAGTAAAAATTAGGGAACTGTGTATTGGTGAATAACCACCTGTCACAGGTTTCTTATACGTTTATAAATATGTTTTATAAATTATTTATTTTCAAAAGACAATTATTTATAAATATGTCAAAAAGACAATTTTCCTAACTATCAAAATTCAAAACGTGTCAACCCAAGACTATAAATAGCAACTAAGGGATCGTTTACCTAAATACTTACCTGGTAAGTACTTATCGTTATGAGTCAACACTATAATTTATTTTACTGAGTAAGATTGTAGTACATTAAAATGGTAGAGTATGTAACAATTTACCCGGTAAAAGTCTTCACCCTCACTTACTGAGTAAGACTCTCCATCTTTATCATTGCTCTTACCGGGTAAGAATTTTTACCCTTGCCATGTTCATGAGATAAAGAAAATTACTCGGAAAGCACTTACCAGGTAAGTGTTTAATAAACGACCCCTAAGTGCTTCATACCATTCTTCTTTTTTCCGTTCTCTTGATCATTGAGAATAAGAATTGTTGTGTTCCTATTCTAGATTAGGAATCTTGAGGTTGTATTAGTCAAGAACCCATAGAGCATCTATTCTGGGGGTTGTAAATCAAGAATCCCCGATTTGCAGTTAATCCCAAACTAGGCTAGATAGTCTCTAGGATTACTCGCTCCTTGACTCATGTCGCTCATGGTTCGGGACTCAGGCACATGAAAACCAGGTGGGTCCAACTAGTCCTTTGCCAACCACAAGTGTGAAAACAATCCCCCTTTTGACAATATATAAGTGATTCTCTTAGGACCAATTCACAGGTTCATAGGACAACCCATTAATCCTTAACTTCTATTGGTTATGGTTCGTGGCATGAAACCAGGTTGGATCCTTGATCTTAAAAAAAGAGTAATCGTATATAATTATCTCTCCGATATTCATTAATTACTACATTACATATCTGAATCAAATTTCGAAAAAATGGGATGGCGGTGAAATCGCATAAGGAATACGTTTCATAAATTGTAACATTTGCGTAAAATGTTCATACAAGCGTTTGAGGTGGCCAGACAAATCCAAATGGTTCAAAACTACGTTTTAGACTCTGTGACTTTGGACTTTTTTTTTAAAATTTATGTTTGATAGTTCCTAACTTTTATATTTTGGGCATTATTACTCCCCGAGAAAAATATTTATGTGTAATTATCTTAATTTGTATAAAGTTTAGGATTAATTTTAACCTTTTACATGATAATTGCATGGATGCTTTCAAAAGCATAGAAGGGTCACTAGTAAGTATTGAAGACTTGGAAAAGTAAACTTGAAAAATCTACACAAGCAGCCAATAACATTAGATTCATAGAGGAGTTTCCTTTTTCATTACATCAAAACAAGACGCCAATTCAAAGTTGGATATTTTAGACAAGTAGACATGAAAATTAACCATGATCAAGTGTTTACCCCTCCCTAAGTGTCGGGGTTATCTATGCATTAGTTTGATCACTATCTAAATGATGTTTGTTGGTTTTATCATTGTAATATTTTTTACAATTCTCGTCTTCTTTTATTCTTATGGTTAAGTGTTGCTTGTGAGGCTTTTGTGGTGGTGANAATAATTAGTATTTGTTTATAATTAATAAATTAATATATTAATAATTAATATTAATCAGGGTTAAAATTAAAAATGTCTTAAAAAACTCTTATGAAATCGACTTATAAAAACTAGTTTATGTACATTTAAATTATTTTATAAAAAAATAAGACACCTAAAAACAATGTTTTAGAGGCTATTTGTCAGTTGTTGGTTTAGTGCAGAATGATTAAGTTGCGAGAATAATTAAGAGACTCTCATAATATATTGTAAAATGAAATATAATTGTTTGGTAGTTATTTACAAGGAAATAAGAACGTTGAATGGTTACGGAAGACCTATAATATAAAATCATTGGTTTTATAACCATTAAGAGACAAATTTTTTTTATAAAACAAGATTTATCTCTAAAAATTCAGTGACTAATTGTTTACCTTTTAATAGTTCCATTAAGAGACAACCTCTGAATCGTTAAGAGGTGAATCTTGTTTGACAAAAAAAAAGTCGGCCTCTTAATGGTTCTAAAATCATCTGAATGATTTTGTATCCTAGATCTCACTTAACCATTAAGAGTCCTAATTTTATTGTACACAATTACCAACCAATTATATTTTATTTTGCACTATATTATGATAATATCTTAATAATTATGACCACTTAATCATTATATACCAAACTATTCAGCAATTGCCAAATAACTAACTCTTAATGAAACTATTAATACTCTGTATCTATGTACGTATATAAATATATATGTATGTTGCATCCAAATGTATGGCGTTTGTGTCGAAAGGCAGTGTTGGCGCGAACTCCATTGGATAAAAGGAAAGACAAACCCCCAAAAAAACATCATACCGTAATAAATCTGCAAACATCAACAATGGCGGACGACGATACTGCATCACTTCAAAACAATCCTCACGATTTCGGAAAATTGCTTCACGGGTAATTCCTTCTCTTACTTCTCCGCTTCGTTTTCATTCAAGCTTTCCGGCGATTCCACATCTCATATTTCTGGTTTATATATATGTTCGTCCGAATTCATATGACGACGATGATGATATCGATAGGTGCAATCATTACCGGAGACGATGCAAAATTCGTGCTCCTTGTTGCAATCAGATATTCTTCTGCCGCCATTGTCACAATGAATCCACGGTTGTTCCCCTTTTCTCCACCTTCGTTCATCACGAATTTTGTATAATACTTTAATTAATTGGGGAAATCGTTCTGCTAATTGATGTTTTTTTTTTTTTGCAAATTTGAGTTATATATATAGAGCGGATTGACAAACCCTAAGGAACGCCATGAAATTGTTCGCCATGATGTTAAGCAAGTACTCATTTTCCCTTGTATGAAATCTCATGTTTATGTGCATCATTTTTTTGTTTTTCGAATTGATATGATGAGGTAATCGATTTGATGGTTGGTGGATTCAGGTTATTTGTGCAATTTGCAATACTGAACAGCAGGTTTGTGTTGATTCATGAGCAAATCCGTGCCAATTATCAAATTTGCGATGGTTTATTTTATGTCATGTTCTAACTTATATGACAATTGTTCCTGTTGCTATGATAGGTTGCTCAGGTGTGTACGAACTGTGGAGTGAAAATGGGGGAATACTTTTGTGGGATTTGCAAGTTTTATGACGATGATGTAAATATTGAGTACATTTCGTTATCTTTTGTAGCAATAAGAATTACCATCTTCATACAGTGATACAGAAATCTTTGAAAAGTTTGGACTGTATGCTAACTTGTGTTATGTTGTTGTAACTTTGTGGTCTTGTGATTCAGATTTCAAAAGAACAGTTTCATTGCAATGACTGTGGAATATGTAGGTGAGTGAGTAAGAACAATTGATGTGGTTTTTGAAAGTATATATATGTATACACACACACACACATGTATCTATGGGGAAGGGTTCAAACGAGGAAACTTTCATTTTATGAAAACGTGAGAACACATGTGATACTATCTAGTCCATAACATGTGATACTAAATCAGAGACGTGTACATCCTTTGGCTTGACCTAGGTTGCTAGCCAAGTTGATCGCACACGACTAGCCCCTGTGTGTATAAGGGTGTTCTCGATGTGATACTATAATTCATCACATATGTTACTAAATCAGAGACGCGAACGACCTTTGGCGCGACCTGGCGCGACCTAGGTCGCGGGCCAAATCTTCTTCACACCACCACGTCCTCTTACTTGTGTTATCACATGTGAGAAGGGTGTTCTCGCGTTTTTATAAATTGGAGGTGTTCTTGTTTGAACCTCCACCTGTGTGTGTGTCTATATATGTGTTGTTATTCTTGGACATAAGCTTATGCTACAATTTAAATTACTACAGAGTTGGTGGTGGTACAAAATTCTTTCATTGCCAAAAGTGTGGTAAGTGGTTGTTCTTTCATGGTTCTTTCCCGCCATTTTCCCTTATTTCTATATTTTTGCTTTTGGAAGTCATGTCCTAGAATCAGATTCTTTACAAAATGCAAGAGTAGGTTGTGTAGCAAGATTATAGAGGCCATTACCAAACACTTACTGGGTAAGCACTCACCGGCGAGGAAGGATCACCATCTTCACTTACTTCAGTGGGTAGCATATGCGGCCATTAAAATAGATTGTTAGTAAGCATCTTTTACCTGGTAAACGTTTGTTGGGTAAGAGTCTTCTTCCTCACTTATGGGGTAAGATTCTTGGTCTTTGCTATGCCCTTTACCGGGTAAGATTCTTAGTCATTGACCTCTTCACCCAGTAAGGTGGTCAAGTCACCCGGTAAGCGTTTGGTAAACAACCTCTTACTCAAACTTTGAAAAGAAACTATGGGGGTAGCTCAACCGATACGATCGTGGGTTTGCTTTCAGAGATCACTAGTTCAAGTCCGCTCAGTACCATCGGAAGGTTTTTCTGTTAACTAAGGGCCCCATGGGATTAGTCGGGGTGCAATGAAGGTGGCCAGACACCCATGGTTACCAAAAGTAATTGTGTTAGTAATTGCGTTAGTTTTCTTTTTGGGAAATTGGTGATCACGGGCTTCGCCTAGACTAATCCTATGGCAAGTCGCGACTGTAGGCTTCACCCATAGCCCTGAGGTAAATCTCCTCTCGGCAACAAGCGGCAGATGTAGATGGCAAGATTCGAACCCTAGTTGATTTTATCATCCCCTTGTCTTTATCCAACATGCTACCAACCTTGTGCTTTAATTTCATTTGTTACTCGATATATCTTTCCCAAGTTAGTTAAAGTGTCCACATCACAATCATGATCGACAAACATGAATCTTGACTATTTATCTGCAAGTGCACAGGATCTTGCTACGATGTAACATTGCGTGATAATCATGCATGTGTGGAGAACTCTACAAAAAACCACTGCCCTATATGTTATGAGGTAAGATATCGGCATTATAAGCATTATAATTGTGTGTTATTCGAGCTATAAATATTTTGATATGCGCTTTTGATAACGACATGGATGCTTCTATGGCAGTTTCTTTTTGACTCGATCAAGGGAGCAACAATCATGAATTGTGGGCACACTATGCATATGGATTGCTATAAGGAGATGATCAGCCAAAATCAGTTAGTTCGTTATATTTTTCTTACTTGTGAATATGTGATACTTCCTACTCCCTCCGTCCCAAAATTGATGTCCCCAATGAGATAGACTAGTTTTAGAAATGTGTAATTGGAGTTGCAAACCAGTTTTCATATGAAATGACAGTGTGAAAATGCAGTGTTTATACAATGTTGTTTCATATATGAAACATTTAGAGCTGTTTTTTTTCCACACAAAACAGAACTGAACGTTTCACGGATGAAACAACACTGTATAAACACTGCATTTTCATGTGTTGCTTCATAGGTGAACAACACATGAGAACTGGTTTCTAAGTTTGAACGATTTATTGGGTTTGTAATTTTTTTTCGAATGTCCAACAATTGGGTTTGTAAATGATTATGCGTCTGTGTGGTTATTATTCTTTTTCATCAACTAAATGACAATTTTATCCTTAATACTAGAAGGAATAATGAATTTCTTTAACTCATAATTAAGGGTAGAATTGGAAAGTATGCACTTATCTTTTAAAGTGGACACTTTGAATACTTATTTTGGGATGGAGGAAGTAAAACAACTGATCCCTCCTCCGGAACTGGTAATGGATTGTAATTTTATGGACGATACCTTTTTGTCTTTCAGATATCGTTGTCCCATTTGCTCAAAGTCGGTGTGCAGAATGTCTAGAACCTGGCAAAGATTAGAACATGAGGTATATAATTGCTTATGATCTACTCAGAAATTTTGATTTCAAAAGAAACTGCAAATGTTTTGAAACAACTTCGCCTTACCTCTTGAGAGGATTTGTTTCAAGATGCATGCTTGGCTTCATGTTTGAAATCACGGATGATTCTTTCTGAACGACATTGTTAGTTTGTTACCATATAGATTATTGTGCCTATTGGGTCCTGCATATAGGTTCAAGTTCGAATCCCAGTGGAGACGGGCTTGAACCCCCCACCCTCTCAAGAAAAAATAGCCTCAGCCGCTGAGTTAGCTATGAAATGCCTCCTCAAATGTGGTTCCTAGGCTGCGGGTTCCATTTGGGTCGGTCAAGGGGTTGCTGGTAATCAACCTTTGCTTAAATGGCGAAGGATCGTGTGAGAAAAAGAGTTCAGGTAAGAAGCGTAAGAAGGGATCTAGACCCTTGATCATCTTTAATCTCAAACCCACCTGTGAATCGTGTTTGATACGGGGATTGATCCGGTGCATCTCATCCTAATGTGCATCCAAGGGTGGAAATGTCTTCTTACGCTTCTCACCTTAACTCTCCTTCTCACCGGAACCCAATCTTGCTTAAATTGTGCCTATTGGTTATTTGAATTTTTGTAATTTGACAGATTGAAGCTACTGCCATGCCTGAAGAATACCGGTATGAGGTAAGTCTTTCAGAATTAACATGGCCACAATTCAGCACACGTTATTTTTGTCATCAAAAGCATGCGTAAGGGGATAGGCGACAATTTATTGATTAGGGACCTTAAATATTTATAAACCCAGGATCCACCTATTTTGTGAGTATTTATGATGAATCATTATTCATCATGAACATTTGTCATCATTCATCTTGAATATTTTATCACATTGTTCTCATGAATACTCACAAAAAAGGGGTGGTTCATGAGTTCCTATTTAGATTCTTTACAGAATCTTGGAGTTGGGAGAAATATCCTTTCTGGTGCATTTGGTACGTAGGACAGAATAATAGAAAAAACTTATTTGTCTCGTGTTTGTCATGACTTTAGACTAGGACAAGACAGAACCTGCTTGGAACAAAAATTCATTTTTTTGTCCCACCAAAATAGGTGGAACAATATTCAAGATGTGAGGAGATTGGTATATTACTAAACTACATTTTTCAAATTAAAACCCTAAAACCTTCCACAATTTTTTCACCTACCTACCACTCTTGCCCGTCTAGTCCCGTCTGCTTACCAAACACGCTAAGGGTGTAGTTGACACCTGGACTAGAACAGGACAAAGAGAGGGCGTTGTTCAACGTTTGGTAAGATAGGTCCGGACATAACAACACTGGTAAAATGAATTGTTTACATCTTTTTTCTATATTTTGATTAATTTATTAAATTATAATAAAATAAATAGTTTTCATAACAAAATATATCAGTAGAAGGTTTTCGTCAAGACGTTCAAAATGACACCAAAATATGAAGTTCATTGATTTTCAGATTTTATTGTATACCTTTTATATATTATTTTTTATTATTAATATTTGATAAATTGCTGTTAACCAAAATAAAGAAAACATATACAAGTAGTATTTTGAGGACAATAAAGTGAAAGTTTAAAGATGATAAAAAACGATAAATAAAATTTAAAGAATTGATAAATGTAAAGAGGGAGAAGTATTTGAAAAGAATTATGTTTTATTTTAAAGGTATATTGGTAAAATACAGGTTTGTTCCACCTTGTTTAACCTTTTTTCATGGTGTGGTGGTGTTCCACCGTGTTCCTGTATGTTCCACATAAAAGTCCTGTCAAACGTGAACAGTGCTCCCTATTCTATTCTGTTATGTTCTGTTCAGTGTACCAAACGCACCATAAAGAATCATGATAGCTTGTAGTATGATTTGCATTTGAGATAATTGACATGAGATCTCATATACATGGATTATGTCGTCGGTATAATCTCTATTGTTTTAGAATTAATGACTATAAGAACACTGATCGATTTGAACTTGGCTTATAGATTCCGATTCTGTGCAACGACTGTAACAATACTAGCAAAGCATCCTTTCACATCATCGGCCACAAGTGCAACCACTGTAAGTCTTATAATACCCGAAGGATTGGAACAGTAACCAACTCGTTGGAGAGACAAATTTAACGTAAACGGTAATCGAAGACCTCCCGAAAAATCCAAGGGGGCGAACTTACCAAGACAGCCCCCGGGTGCACGTGCTAGTTCCCAACTGACTCGTTGCAATGGAAAAAAAAAAATTAGATGCCAAAAAGGGGCACCCACGTTGCATTGATACGTGTTCCTCTAAGTTAGAAAAAAGTTGTTGTAGTCTACTGTTAGTGTCATTACATCTAATATTATAAAAACCGTTCTGTTTTTATTTATGTATAATTAATATTTTTTTTATTTTGTTATTTTGTTATCTATTATGGGTCATAGACTTGTGCAAAATGTTAACATGCTATTTGAAGCAAGAGTGAAACCCACATGGATTATAGCAACTTTTTTTCTTTCAATTAAATCATACATCAATGTTTGTACAAAGATTTGAACTCAACCTCTTGCTTGTTACCACTAAATTTTATTAGAGTTTATATGAAATAAAATAATGATATGTCTTCGTCTAATTGATGAAACATAGATGTAACATGATATGGGATTTAGTGCATAGGATCTTAACGTTATTGAAATTCATCACACAACAAAGTCGTAAAAGTTTATATGGTTGGTTGGTTGGTTTACGATTTGACATAAAGTGTGTGTATATGCGTTTGCATACACATGTGTGTAGAGTGTAGATATACAATATACATTTTTTAAACGAAAATATATTGTATATTAAATAAAACTTAAAATAAAATAATTATATGTATTAATGTATAATAATTAATTAATTTAATAAACTCAAAATAGAAAACAATTAATATTTTTTATTTTATCTTTTAGACTTAATTACAGATTTGGTTCTTGTTGTTTGTGTGGTTTTTACAAAATTGGTCTATCAAGTAGAGACAAAAAAAAAAAAAAAAAGGATGAAAATGCACTTAAGATTAACGGAGAAACTAGATGGTTGCTAGAGAGAGGGACCAATTCGTTGCAAAACGACATACGACGAGTCCTAATCTGTAATAAATGAAGTTTAGAGTATTTTCGTAAAAACCACCAAACAGGGACCAAATCTGTAATTTACTCTAAAATGTATGATGGGAAAATGCTTAATGCCCCTATATTATATCAAAATCATGTCAAATCATACATTAAAAATGTAAAAATTAATTTTTAATCGGTACCAAATACCCATCTCTATAGCCCAATATCACAATATTATTGTTTATACCTTGTGACGATTAAAGATTAGGGAAATGCTATATGCACCCATTTTTAACATTTTCAATGTATGATTTGATCAGTACGGAGTAATCGTAATTTTCTAGAGGCATCCGTTATACAGCCTGTATAAGATCATCAGTTTACTATATAAATTTTGATATTGTATGAATAATTTATAACTATAAAATTAAAATGTGTGTGAACTAAGTTGGTGTTCAGTATAAATGAATTGTCATACAACGTGGGAATGCCATACAAACAAAAATACCGCAATCGCCGAACGACCATCCTCCTTAGGCACATCAACGCCATCACGACGAGTTAATCAAAGGTCTAAGCCCAGCTAATACCGGAAAAGTAAACGCTTGAACCTCCTTAGTATCCCGGCTGTAACATCTCAGACCAACCATACCAGATATTGTCCGCTTTTTGCACATCTGGACTCACGGTTTTAAAACACGTATGATAAATGAAGTATCCCGTCCCTTATAAGGCAACCTTTGTTCCCTCCCCAAATCGATGTGGAATCTTACAATCCACCCCCCAGCATCCTCGCTAGCACACCAATACGGTTCCCGACTCTAATACCATCTATAACATCTCAGGCCAACCGTACTAGATATTGTCTGTTTTGTCCATACCTGCATTCACGGTGTTAAAATGCATATGATAAATAAGGTATCCAGTTCCTTATAAGGCAACCTTTATTTCCCTCTCCAACCGATATAGAACCTTACAATATTCCAACTCAAAGACGACAATCCAACAAAGTCATGCTATCATAGATGGTAATCGTCTACGTTGGCCAATGTTGCTCGGGTATATCGATCGCGATAAGTACCTGCAATATCAATTTTCAAATCAATCATTTAAATTTTTCAGTTTATAAATTTTGTCAACAAAATTGTGAAAATACTTGCCTCGGTCGATATCTCACCAGGCTCATAGCGTCATGTTGCCATCGACCCAATGCAACGTCTCGGCTGGTCTCGACTCGAGCATGAGTGTAATTCATGCCTGAATATGCTGTTAATCAAAGACAAGAAGTAATTATTGTAGTATGAATAACTTATTTATAATTTTCAACTCGGAAATATTTTAAATATCAACTTCTCCGTCAACTCGGCTGCTAGAAGTCATGCCGAAAAATTCCCCAATTCTCCGTCACGAGGTCCATAGGGTGCACAAATGGATGGCTCTCGGACGGGAGATGTCAACGAACGTAAAATGGTGTATGGAGATAGCAATGTTGAAGCCACCTTTACCGATCGTCAATCACGACGAACAACCAAAGGTGGTGAATGCTCCGCTACACTCACAACAATCGTCTATGGCGCCCCCTCTGCCACATCATCATTTATGTTACGTGGTCGGGTATCCTTTGATCGAACCTGCATATGAACAAATAATTTTTGGTAGCAAGTTACTTAAAAACTATTCACTAACTAAACAGAAAACCTAAGGGGTTGTTTGGTTGGTTTTCCATTTCTTATATGAATAAACGTGTCTATGTAGATTAATCTGTCCGAGTAGAATCTGTGGATTGGGAAGGTTTTTGTTTGGGAGTGTTTTTCCATAAATGGAAGCAGCATGTTTTTTTATTGGAAGGGGCAGATTTTGCAAAAAACTCGGCTTTCTGCAAGTTCTCACTTAGAAGCTTACTGAATAAACCACTTTCTATATCATTAAGCCACTATCAAATAGTCATGTATAGCTGACCGAATAAACCCAGTCCAATTAAGCTCAGCTGCTAACAAACAGACCCTAAAACAATTGTACCTGGGTACGGTGATTGGCCTCCAAGGCACGCTGCACGGTCTCGTGTAGCCGGGTCATGCTTTCCAAAATGGTACGCTGACCGGCCTGCATGGCTCGGTAACCGGCCTCCAGGTCACTTTGACCAGCCTCCAGGGAACGCTGACCGGCCTGCAAGTCATGCACTGCCTGCTCTAATGCTGCCACCCGCTGCTCTAAAGATTTCGGGACGGTGATGGCGGCCTCAGGTGATGATGCCCCAACCCCAGCAAAGCTTGATATCGGTGGCGCTGGTGGTCGTGGCGGCCGTGGTGGCGAATAAGAACGGCCTCTTTTTGTTGGCGGCTGAAAATCATCAGCAATGCTGTTAAAAAAGCGCTGACTGTCACTCCACCAGTCAGTCTGCCGCTCGACTTCCGTCGATGTAACCGTCAGTGGCTGACGACCATCCTAATAGTTAATAAAACATTTAGTTAATACCAATAACATAATTAAATAATAAAAAATGTAAAAAAACGTCAAACATACATCATCGACATTGAGGAAGGTCAAACACATATCCCACATGATAGTTTGAGTCCACTGCCAAGCAATGGCTCTCGGGATCGCATCAGTCCGTAAGGCAAACCTCCTGGCAACGGGAAACGTCTCAAAGATCCATATCTATAAAGTTGCAATTGGACATTATTGACCAACACAATTATGATTGAATTAACATGTAAAAAATAATTAAACAAACTAATCGAACCTTGAAGGCAAAAACAAATCCCGTAAGCGTGTACTTGGCTATCCTATCGGCCTTGACGCCTACATGGTGTTGGCGTCTCGGCAACGCAGTCTTCAACTGCGGGTGGGTCAACGCCCATAAGTATGAACCCCATGGGTACCTGTTCCATGAATCCAAATCCTCTACCAGACGTAAAAGAAAGCCGGCAACCACCAAGTTCGGTTGGCGGCCACTGAATCCAACCTCCAACAACAACAGCAGACAAATACGAACAGCATCAAGGTCCGCGATTTGAGCAAAGGCCCTACTTGTAAAAACCGACCAAAGGTCCGACCCCTTCACATGCTGATGAGCCGGTATGTTCGGGAATACCCTATCCCTGAAAGGGTTACCTGACCTCTCCTGCAACGCATCCATCAGGCCGAATCGAAGCCCGGTAATCAGGCAGAACTCCTCCCGACCGAATCGAAGCTCATGACCTCCAATGCGAAACCACATCTCATCGGCCAGGGCACCCTCCGGGAAGAACTGGGTCTGCAAGATCAGATGGATCAGCAACGGGTCTCCATTTGTTGACCGGATATCTAGCCATGGACCAAAACATGTGTCCCTAAACAGAGCCAACCTCCTATCAGAGTCTCTCAACTTGACAAAGATGTCTTTCGCAATGGATATCCGAGCCTTGATTGTCAAAGTCGCCTCATAGTAATCAACCTAATAAAACACATCATTTAGAAAACAATCATATCCTTTATAATAACATCCGCTTAGAAAATTTATCAATACAACATTAGACAATAGACACCTTGATTAATGTTTTGTCATCAATATATTGCACTAAAACCACCACATGAATCGGTGACTCGCATCTAGTGTAATATTAGGTTTCAAATACCTAAATCACTTGGACCACTTTCCTACCACAAGGAAAGGCTCATAAGCATCAATTTCAAATAACGGCTCTCAGAATTACCAAATATCGTCTCTAAGTTTATTAACAGCCTACTTCGTTAAAATTAATGTTTTGATACAAACGTGTAACACCCAAAGATGAAAATAGCAACTTTAGAAGACATAGACATACTACACTAAAACACAAAATTATGTTATCTTCGATACAAGGATGATCCCCAAAAAATGCCAAGTCCAGTCCCTCTAACTAGCACCCATACCTCTTCCTAAATAACACCTAATGACATATTGCCTCTATACCCAATGAATGGAACTTTTAGATAGGTCCGTATACAACAAGAATATAATAATGAGAATAAAAATCATGCTACATAAAAGACAAGTTTCTTCATTTGAAAACATTCTATATAAGAATTAAGTCTCATTTAGAATAACCAATAGCATGATACTCAAGTGTTCATTTCATCGAAGAAAAACATGAGAGACCAGTCTTTCATCAAATGTGGCGGGAACACAAAAGTACATCACAGATCAATGTTGAGTATCATTTCAATGACTTAATGCCTTAGGCCTAACGACCTTTTGTTGAGTTCCACTTTCACCTCAAGATTCAATGACCTTAGTGCATGCTGTTTCGA